GTCGCCAGTTGCTGTTTCGCTGTTTGCATACATGACAAGTTGAATAATCAGAAGTGTGATTTCACCATCAGATATTTGGACCAAAGAAAAAAGAAAAAGTCACCATCAAATATTTGGAACAAAGAAAAAAGAAAAGGTGGGATGACGCTGCTGCCTTCCTCGCTGCCGTGTCCTCGGTCCCTATCCTCGCTGCCGCGCTCTCCTCGCTGCCCTATCCTCACTGCCGTCTCCTCATCCACTCTCCTCCACACCACTTCTCTCCCTCTTCCTCCACAAATCCCTCTCCCTTCACGGTGATGGCGAACGGCACGCGGGTAACATCAGGTGAGGTTGGCGGCTCCAGGGCCTTCGGCCTCCGTGGATCCTTCAGTATACCACAGAGGTATGCAAGAATTAATTGAATATAAGGTGGCTCATGACCCCAACAGAAGGCCGCCCAATTTTTTTTTCAGCCCGGGCCCAGGCTGGAAAAAAATTTGCACGGCGGTTCAGAGATTTTTCCCAGGGAGGTTGAAACGGGAACTCTCGACCGGGCCCTTTTTTTTGTTGAAGGGGGGTTGTATTTTTCCCGGTGCTGCGTGTGCAGTGCACGTGCACCCTGCGCTGTGCGGCATGCGCTGCACAGGCGCGACACCGCACATCGTGATGCGCTGCAGGTATGGTTTGAATCCTACCCTGTTTCATAACGTCAACTGGTACAAAGATGCGGCAGGTCACTGTTGTATGTGCATGCGTTTGTGTGTGGCACCTGTGTTGGTGTGCTCACATTTATATGTGTGTGTGGGCTATGTGGTTGGGCGATTTGTGTGGTCATGCCCCAGGATTCTCACAAGCGTTTATTGGAAAGGTGTGGTGGAAATATGGGACTACGAGCGACAGGTGAGTGCTGTACTCAGAGCATCCTGTTCTACCATATGTTGTCGAAAGGATTTCCATGCTATCCACCTGATCCCAGTCCCAGTCCCAGTCCAGATCACATGTAGCATATTACTGTGTTCCAGGTAGGTTCTAGTGCCAGCAGGCCGACATTGGAAGTTTCCGGTAGGCCTAGGAAGAAGCCGGTGGATGTCGGTAGGCCCCTTGGTGCCAGTCAGTCCAGTCAGCAGCAAAGTCCCAGGAAAGTCAGGGAACTCTCGAAAACGACAAACATCGGACGAGGGACTGGCCCATAACTGATAAAGGAAGTCTGGAAGTGGATTGTCGGGCACATAAGTCCAGTTGTCAAAGTCGCCAACACGTATTCACTTGAACTCTGGGCATGTGCTTACTCTCCTCATTCTGTATGCACGCGCCGATGTGTATAACGATCCACACCAGTATGGTCTCCACCCCACCTATTGCTGCTCCTTGCGCGTCCCTCCTTGTCAGTGTGTACTGCCCGTCTGTGTGTGTGGGCAGGGGTGTCCTATCTGCTGATTGTGTGTGCTCCCTAACAAGCAGAATATATTTTGCCGACGATGGGAACCAGATCTAGACTTTCAATTACATGTGCCATTCAATGGAAAGATGAAATGTATTTTCCTGACGACAGGGAGCAGATGCATGCTTCACTGAGCAGAATGTGCTTCGCTGACAATGGGGAGTCGGATCAAGACTTTCAGTAGTGCCAATAAGACAACATGTATTTTGCAAGTGACCTGTGACAGATGCAGGCCTTCAATAGTTCCTGCCAATCTGTGAAAAAGAAGTGTAGCTTGGCCACTATGGGGACCAGATGCAGGTTTCAGTGTCATCAGCCGTTCAATTAATGTAAAAACAGAATTTGACTTATAATTATGACCAAAATTCCACCAAACGCAATTCACGAAGAAAAACTCCATCTGGGAGCCGAGTGTCTGTTACAGGCTCTCTTTCTCCGTACATTCCCTGCCTTCTTGTGCGAGTGGTTCNAAGAAAAACTCCATCTGGGAGCCGAGTGTCTGTTACAGGCTCTCTTTCTCCGTACATTCCCTGCCTTCTTGTGCGAGTGGTTCGGAGCGCTTCCGACTCTCTGGCTCTTAGGCCTGTCTGATTCAACCCGTGCTGGCTTCGGGTGTGCTCCCCTCTGTCCCTTTCCTTTGGCGCTCGTTGATTCCCTTCTTGTGTGTGTGATGTGCCACTCATTCCAGTGCCTGACGAATGCTTCCTCCTTTGTCTGTGAAGTTGTGTCTTCTCCTTTGTAAGTGATGTCTTTCTCCCCTCGTGTGTTCTTGTCACCTGCGCTGTGTCATGTGTCTGCCCTTGTGTTCTGTTACTCACCTGCCTGACTGCTGCAGTTTTCTAATCGCAAAAGGAGGCCGGGAATTCATTGCAGCAGTTTTGTATAATGTTTTGATTCTTTGAATTGTTTTCGATTTTTTATTGGTTGCCGCTGTATCTTTCTCTTTGGTGTTTATGTTTTTTTTTCAGGGCTTGGTATATGATTGGAAGGTCTCTCACAAGTCTGGTAAGTGTACCAAGCAAGCTCTGATCATTTTGTCATTGCCAGCGGTATCGTGGGGGAATGGTGTTTGGCAGCCAAATGCATTCGACGCCTCTTCCCCCCCCCCCCCCTCCCTTAACAGGGTGCGATGCACCGAGTTCAAAAACCCACATGGACACAGGCCAGGGTCGTCGCTTTCGTCCTAGAGGGGTCTGAGAAAATTCCTGAGGTCAACATGCATAGGGTCCAGGGTTAAACAAGGCAACCTGTGCCCCCACGTGAAAATCAAGAGTCGGTCCCAATGTTACATGCCCAGTTGGGCGATGTACATAAGAACCGAGGATGCGCAATGTGATGAAAAGGACTGAATGGACAATGCAGTGCAAGTAGAATCTCAACAAGCAATGTGCATTCCAATACATACAAAATGATGCTGAATAGCGCAGGGAAGACTTAGATACAAATCCTGACCTGACCGGGACTGACCTCATTCACGTAGCACAAGATAGCGAAACAGAATGCCAGAATGCTAATGACTAGCCCAATCAATGTCACAATGCAGACTAAACATACATCATGCTCATCACCAGGTGTGAAGAGGCCTGGCGCTATACACAGGAAGAGGCGCCAGGTCCAGCCATGCACAGACGAAGAGGAGGGGAGAGATGGGAAAGTCGTCAACACCAAGTCTCATTACGAGCCCCAAATAATCCCTCGTCAAAATGTCTGAAGTCGAATGTCGAGTCTGGATCCACATGTCACCAAGCTCTCTCTCTCTCTCTCTCTCTCTCTCTCTCTCTCTCTCTCTCTCTCTCATAGTCTGCTGATGCAGTGAAGCCAGATATAGAGAGGGTGAGAGGGAGATGGTGGACTGAGAAGAGGAGAAGAAGAACTCTCTCTCTCTCTCTTGTATGCCAGGTACTAACCTGTGAAGATGGCGCTGTGCTGCAGGTACCTCGGAGATGAAGCTGGAGCAACGGCGCTGCAGGTAAGTATCCCTGGCCTCCGCCCAATCTTTCTCTCTCTCCAGTGCTACTCTAGCTATGGTGCCCAGCGCTGAAGACTACTGCTAACGCTACAAAGCGCCCAGCGCTGAAGACTACTGCCAGCGCTCCTCCAGAGTGCTGCTGCCGACTCCTGAAGACTACCTACTGCCTGTAGGGCGGGCCAGTCTTATATAGTGCTGGCCCGTCCACGAGGCTGCTCTTGCCCATGCCCAAACGTGCTAGGCCCTGAGGAAGCTTCCGGAAAGTTTCCAGGTAGCTTCTGGCTAAAGCCTGAGGAAGCTTCCGGGAAGTTTCCAGGTAGNAAGTTTCCAGGTAGCTTCTGGCTAAAGCCTGAGGAAGCTTCCGGGAAGTTTCCAGGTAGGTTCTGGCTAAAGCCTGAGGGCCTATAGGCCCTTGTTTTCAGGGTGTCAGGCTGAAACGACACGGGGCCTGTAAGCCCTGGTTTTCAGGCTGTCAGGCTGAAAACAGACACGGGGCCTGTAGGCCCTGGTTTTCAGGCTGTCAGGCTGAAACAGCCACGGGGCCTGTAGGCCCTGGTTTTCAGGCTTTCAGCCTGAGGGATGCAGGGCCTGGAAAATGGCCCTTGTGTGCAGGCGCAGCATGTAGTCCCAACCTGGTAGAAGCAGACTAGGAGTCAGAGATTTCTCAGCAGTCAACCATGGCTACAGATCTGGTGCACAATCAAACCCTGTCTGCAACTGTTCCAGAAGATTCCAGGGCCTGGTGTGTCCAGGCACAGTGAGGCCAACGGCGAATCTGGGGCCCCAGATCGAGAAATCCCCACCGTTGGAGGAAGCAAGTGGAGGCAGGCCAGGGCCGTTCAATGCTGCTAAAGAGTGACCAGCCCCAGCGAGTCGTTCATTCTGCCTTGCACCCACTGGTGGCCAGAGCGCCTCTGGGCGAGGTAGAGAGGAGAGGAGAGGATGCGCCAGAGAGGGCAAGTCAACTCCAGCCTGGGAAGGAGAGAGAGAGTGGTAGCCATAGCTAGGAAGGGTGCATGCCACCATAGCTGTAGCTTAGAGGTAAGGTGAGGAAGAGGGTGATCAGGACTGTGAGGAGAGAGGGTGGGAAGCTTACCTTGACTTACCTGTGCACTAGTCATACTGAAGGAAGGCAGGTGATAAACTCCTTAGCCAGTATTGATACTGGAGGCTGGGCTGGTACCTGCAGAGAAACTTCATTAGTGTCTTCAGGGATAAACTTGCATGCCGATGTGGCGAGTTGGTGGGAGAGGATCCTGGAGGTGAAGAGGGGTGAAATTGCCGTTCAGTTGTATCATTGGTTATCAGTTGAACTATCCTCCCTCTCGCTCCATTGCTTCTCCACCTTTGTCTCACTTCTGGTGACTCACTTCTTATTCTGGGACTACATTATGATCGTCTTGTGGAAGCTTCTCGTGACTTGTGGGCTCATTCCGCAGGGCCTTTCTCCAGTTCTTTTCAGCCTTTTGAGTTTGCCAAGAAGCAACCTGGCATTGCCTTCTGTATGAGTTTTTTGTTTATCGTTCTCATCATCACCCAAACGGTGCTCTACTAGTCGACAACCGATGGGCATTAAGTCCATCTTCATTTTATTTTATTTTTCCTTCAGAAAATGCAGAGATTCGAAAAGGACTCTTTCATATTTAATGCTCATTGCAGGCTAGGGAAATTTAGTGTGATGCTTGCGGATTCCTGCATTATCTGCATATAATTTCTTCTGATTTTTTTGCGTCTTCCTCCGTTTTTATTTTTCCCACCTGCAGTCTGCTTTTCTGTTGATTAGCAGTCTGTGAAATCAAATTCGTCTCCTTGTCACTTTGTCATGCCTGCAAACAGCGGTACAGCAACTGGCGACATGCGCCCACACAGTACTCAAGATATCGTAACCAGATATGAGTTCTCTTCAACTGGCTATGGCGACCGGGCGCCCACACAACTCACTGTTCGCACTCTGGATCACCCTGGATGTCCCACACGCAACACTCAGTATCATAC